CAGTATGGAATTATCGATCGCCGCAACAGTAAACATCCGATTACATTGAGCACAAGCGAAGAATGTGCGAAAAATTCCTATAATGAGAAAGAAAGAAAATAATAAGGTCTCGAACGTCCAATGACACCAGCCTCGCGACACTTTTTAACACTCCCGGTACGGGTTCACATAGGAACTCACGCGCGCACGATTTCTCCAACTGTTAACTGTACATTGCTCCCCTGGAAGACGAAAGCAAATCGAGCGTTTCTTTTCTACGCACCCGAGTGCTCTGTCGCGTGTCTCGGTGAAATAAACGATTCTTCGCACCTGTCTCCTCTGGACTCGCAAATACGCTGACTTTACCTGTACGTACATCTCTTCCGTTCATCGTGGCTTCTGCTTTGTCGTTATTTTTCTTTAACGCGCGTACAGCTGTTTCCGGACGAGGAATCGCCTCGCGAGCTACCGGTCGATTTAGCTCACGTATGTTAATTCGCGCGATTTCATTTTCACCCAACGCTCTTTCCCCCCCTATGTCGTTGGACTTACTTTCTCTGGTGTCCGCGCGTCTGGACAGGTTTTAATTTTTAAAACGAAAGTACGCTCGACGTTAATTTTTTTTTTTTTTTTCACATTGCTATGTAATTTTTTTTCTTTCTTCATACAAACATGAGCTGATTGTAGTTACTTCTGTTACGAAGTATTCGTGGTCCCCTTTGCTGTCACCAACATAATATATACAAGCCATAGCTGGCCCACGAAGAAAGTATATACACGTGCGTTAGGTCATTGCTACAAAAACCCGCTGACCCAGTTAACCTGGCCCGGATGGGAAGATAAAAATCCATATTACTCGCTGGCATGGGAATAGAAGAGAGAAAGAGATTATGAACAAAATTCAAATCATCGTCGTTCTCTCGATGCTTGATTGCTTCTTTGGAGGAGAAAGTTTGTTAGTGAAGTGTCCACCAAAGAGGAGGGAAGGACCAAAACGACTCTTGTTTGCCATAAAATGGACTGATTGTCCAATTGTGTTACTTTTTTTTCCAGACTTGCTCTGCTGCTTTAAAACTAGTAACCCACGTAGACGTCTTTGATATTCTATTGACGGCTTTAACGAAGAACCACACGCTATTCACGAGCTTTCACAAAGACACACGCATGTCGCTGTAGTTACGTCGAAAAAATACATGATTCACAAACTTTTTTAAAAAATTCCACCATTTGCTACGATGATAAATAGGCTATTAATCATTCGACTAGCTTTTTCAACCGCATTCGATTTTTTAAACATTATAGTACGTGTATCACACAATAACAAGCCCTTTCAACTCCATAAGAATTGGCAATTTATTTTTCAAATACTATAATTATACACTATAAGACTAAATGGTTAAAAATTAGCAACGTAACATTAAAATTAATTATTCTTCTGTTACTTTTACAGATAAAAATCCTTCTCGGTCTTTACGTAGTGCTGATCTTTAAATTCATTATTTTCAGAAGAGTGAATAGTTGAATACATTTTCTTAAAAAAGTAAAATGCAATTTTTACATTCTACTTGTGGCAGTTTTTTTTTTATCTTTGAACCTTTTCTGCACCGTCAGTAGGGGAAAATAGAGTTTGCACTTGGTGCGCATCTATACCATTCAACACATGGAAAGTGTACCTCAATATTTATAGAAAGTCGTGAAATAATCTACTCTTTACAGAATATACTCATACACGACCTAAAAGTATATAAACATAATTTTACTTGACAAGATGCACTATACTGAGGAAATTTAAAAGTAGTGACACACGAGTTTCAAAAGTTCGAAAATAAAATGGAACCTCGGAAAAAGTTGTATACTTCGAAAGTATGTTGAATATTCATTCCTAATTGTAAACCCATTATTTATGTTATAGAAACGTGGTTAATAATGTATTACTATCCGGCTCTTACTTCATTTTCGGCACCATCAATAGTGGATGTATACATACTAATGTCCAAAAACCTGAGAGCTAATTGCCGTATAAAATCTTGTATTTAATCCCTTTTTTTTAGTACTTTGGTAGGGATGCATCCATGGAATTAGATTTTTAAACTCTTCGTAATTTTTTGTCGACTCAATTTCGCACACCTGATTGAAGTTGCAAGCTTTTGACATCCAGGTATATTACCTCACAATCTCGTAAATTACATGCGTCAGACCTTTGAAAAAAGTAAGTTTTATACTTAAAAGCCTCAATACCCTTGATAAGCTTCACCACCCAAGCTGCTAAAACCTGAAAACTTGGTTAGTTCTACAATTCACATGCCAAATCCTGTAAGTTTTTTGCTTTAGACCTACAACCCTGTAACAAGTTGTATGTTTTAAACACCTATGTTCTGTAAACCTAGTAACTCATTGGCTATCAAATTTATAGAAATTAGATGCAATTTCCTGAGTTTTAAGTATCCGAAGCATAGAAACTTATTTTTTGTCTGAATCGTGTGATTTACTGAGATTGAAGATTATAGGTATTTAAGGCTTGCAATTAAAATCCGGCTTAACAACTCCATATAAAATTACAAAAAAATTCATGAAGCTATTTAAAAAAAAATATTTGTACTACAATACTACGAGTTTCTCCCTTTTTCCTAGATCGATCATTGATATTGATTGTCTCGGACGAAAACTTGTTAAGCCATATGACTTGGACCAAGAAGAAGCTATTTTAAAACCAGAAAAGACAAAGCTAAATTTGTTAAAAATTTCTCATCGACTCGTAATTGTTTCGTTTGCAATCATAAGCGTTGAACTTATACGCACCGAGTCTTGATTCGAATAATCGACAGTCATTCTATGTTTCGGTACACCTGAAATCGACATCCCCCCCCCCCCCGATCATCTCGGAGGACACATTGTATCCGCTATGCAACGCGTCTACGCACAAGCATGTACAATTGAACAAACGATGAGACACGACGTGGAAATGGTTCGGATGCTAATTTTTCCCCAACAAGAGCATGTCCGTCGACTTGAGCACGCGCGTCGCGAGCTTGGGACCATCGACAACGTTACAATCATATATATAGGTATGTGCACGAGTCGTTCTTCAGCGACAACCACACACAATATATTGGAAACACACTCGCCGACGGGATTGACGGGAACAATGCCTATACATACATATATATGTATATAAAGGCAGCAGAGACACACCACATCGTTCCACTCGAACCAAGGCCGGTGTCCTTCTCCACCACCCGTTACTCTCTTTCTCTCTCTTTATCTGTGAGTCAATGTACGCGCGTGCATGCAGCAGTTCGTTTGTTAACTCGCGGGGATCCATGTCAGTGGGTCAGCGATCCGGTATTAGGTGCGCGTATAGCGCCGAGGTGACTCTGGCCACACGAGGATGATGACGGGACCATGCGAGTCCCGAGCGATTTTTTCGTTTTTATTTTCTTCTCTTGTCGTTATATACCCTCTGCACTGTGATACCATGCAGTGAACCCTTTTTTCATTCACTGAGAGAGTTGTATGTACAATGTTATAGTTGGGCAGAAGAGAAAAACATTGTATTCGATAACGTTGGAGCCGCGATGCCAACAATGGCACTGTCGGAAGTTTTGCGAAACGACAAAGTTCAGCGAAGAAAGTAAAAGTTGGTGCACGTAATGAGACGTGATCGTCACGCTAATTGTACACCTGCGAAGGATCTATTATACAGGTACACCCACCGGCACAAGAGTGAGAATAATATACAATGTGATGGCACACGGTCGTCGGTGTATACGCACACAGGAAATGGTTGGTTCGCGCGCGCAGTGATGCTTATGTGGCTTTTGCTAAAATACATCGTAATCCTTGGCGATTATTGCCCAGTTATGACCACCGATCGGTACGAGGCGACGGTATTATCTAACCAGTGCGTGAATGCTTGTAATACGTTAGCGCACGGCACCTGGGTAAAGTAAGGTTTTGTAACCGGAGATTTCGTCGCGTCGCATGCAACTCCGACTCCAGTGGGCGGACTCGACTTTTTGCCGCCCAATAAACTCCGATAAAAAAAAACCTGACACGAAAATGAGATTTGCAATACAGATTATCCGACCGCGTTGCACCGCCAACGTACAGTGCCATATACTTTGGGAATTGCATAATCTCGGGTGGAACACGCGTGCGTGTGGCACCGACCACAATATCGTACACGGGAGACAGGTGTGAAAACGAACGATCGACCTTGCCATCGACGAAACTCCATCCATTTCTAGGTATCTCTCTTCATTTATCTATCCATGCGACTGGGTTGCATCGAACCGGGAAACCCCGAGAGTACCGAAACAGGTTTTTCGCGTCGACGTATATTAATGAGATTGGTGGGCGTGTCCGGCTTTCGGATCGTTTATCAATATGTATTCCCAAAAACCAACGAATTCCAACCGATCGTCTGCTGACGCAAGCCCGTTAGCCCCCCCTTCGTAAGAGAGAGAGAGAGAGAGAGATCTCGCCTGCGTGAAAACGCTCTTACCTCCGCGCGGAGAAAGTTGGCGGCCGATCGAAAAATCGTTGCTCGCGCGGTCCGTTAACGCGCAGGATCGGTTTTTCAACTTAGGCTCGATGATTCGTGGGAGCGGATCCTCGTTCATTTATGGGCTGTTTATCGGTAAAAAAACACGCGAGGGGCGTGGGACGATCTTTTGCCGGTGAAATTTCCCCCGCGATCGCCGATCGGCAGATTTTAATAAGCGAAAATACCGCGCACGCGCGTCGTTTTCCACTTTGAATTCAAAAGAGCGTCGATCCGCGGCGCGGGATAATAGCGGGGAGAGATAGGATCTTCGCGAGATTTACGTAATCGAAACTCCCCCCGTGGCGTCACGACCCAAAGTGGATGTTGCATCATGGGAACGTAGACAATCGGAAGATAAAAAAAACGCGATTCCTCAAAATTAATCGTCGTTTTACGTTTTTGTTTAGAACTAAAAAAAAAAGTCACTGGGATCGCAAAGTTCATCATTTCGTATGAGAAAAAATAAAAAACTCACCTCACAAGGCCGGCGGTCCTCCTCGTCATCTTCGTCGATTGTTGCTACGTCTTCCCTGGATTTTTGAAAAAAGCAACGAAAAAAAAAAAAAAAAAAAGGGTTACACTTTCTCGACGTGCCGATTTCACTTAGCTGGGCCTCCTCCCGATTCCTCGACAGAGAAGAGCTTCGCTCATCGAAGACGATCTCGCGGTAATTCAAAACGCTACGCTCCCGTCACTATATATCTTATTTCGAGCACTAAATCATCTTACTCGGCCCGAGCACCTCTCTATTGTTACTTGTACGAGTAAAGGTGACGACTGCGAGAGAGGAGGGAAAAAAAAATGTACGATCAATCGCGCAAGGACCGAGTCGACCTCTTCCCTCTCGGCCAGCTCGCGAGAGAGTGAAAGAAATTCCGCGCGCGCTCCGCCAGAGTCCCGCTCTCTATCCTTCGGCTCCTTGGAGCCTCAACCTGCTGCTTTTACCGCGGTATCTACCTACCGAGTGCAAGGTATACGCGGCCTCCCAGTAGCGCCGGAGATTTTCGGCCTCCTCCTCCTCCTCCGCGAAAGGGAAACCTTTCTCCCTTCCATTCCGGAGTGCGTGCGTTACAGAGTGGCTCGAAAGAAAAAAAGTAAGCCTTAGCCAGTGGTCCTCGTTGCTCTTGCTCGGCCGTGCGCGCGTGTGGCCGCAGGCGCGAGAAAAGAAAGGCCTCGTTGCTCCTCCTCTCGTGCGTCGGAGAAAAAAAGAACGGGCACTCGACCTCTCTCGCTTACTCTTACTCTCTAAGCGAAAGCTCGACTGACTGTGCACGGGAGGAGGAGGAGGAGGAGGAGGAGGGTATACGCGTTCTCGCGGAAGGAAGACTCGCGCGTGAACCCCACTTTTGCCGGCTTTCCTTTTTTTCGATCCTCCTCCTACGGCGGGCGAGATTACCTCCCCACCGTCCGTCACCTCGTTGGCTAACCCCTTTTTTTTTAAATAAATAATTTACAGGTATATATGGGTGCGCGTGGGCTAATACAGGTGAGATGGTGTCGTGATGGTGCACGTCGTTCGCTAATTAGGCTAGTGCAGCGAAGGATCATTGGGTAATCGTGGGGAATTGGAGTTTGTTGGAGCAACACGTGCGAGTAAGGTGGTCGTCAATTTTTTTTCCTTTTTTTCTTCGTCTCAATCGCAAGCGCAACAAAGCAAAGGCAACCCATTGGGTTACGCGTATTACACGATGTACGATTTCTTAGCGATGTTTTGTGATGCGGAGTCGAGTTGGCAAATATTTTACAAGAGGATGCACTCTTCTCATACGAGAGGACGAAAAAAGTGATTTTTCACTCACTGATGATTTCATCCCGATGAATGAGACAAAAGATTTTTCGATTTTCATTAACAAATATTCTCAAATCGTTTCGTTTTGATTTTTATGATAATTTTTTACGACGTACGACAATCAAGTGAGCAAGAAAAACCTTTTTCAGCTTCAGCTAGAAGACTAAAGAATATTTGTATCAAAAATTCTTCCTTTTTAGGCGAGGAAGAACTTAAAAACTGACTTCCTAGTTCTGCAAACGATGATCTACGACCACGACTCCTGGCCATACGTGCTGTAACCTACTTCAAAAAAAATTAGACAAAGTGCCGTGGCGTTATCCGTCTTCAGTATTGAGATATTCATTAGCGAGTCTCCATAGAAACTCGCTCATTTGCATCAGGCTACATGTTCAAAGAAATGCATATCTTTTGAATGTGCCTACAACCTTGTACTCCTAGGACATGTGATATATTTTTGTGCAGACTCTGAAGATTTATTTCTAAATCATTATGATCCATCAGTTGTCAACTTATACGCTCAAAAGATCCAACACTGTTGAAACAGCCTAAAACTGCTTTGATTTACCTATTATTGATCAAAGACTCAATGATACGTACATCGATATTCAAATTTTACTCATTTTCACATGTTTTCTCAAACATAATCAATTTTTTCACCATGGACTGTTTTATACATTTGCTTCTTGTAAACCATACTATAATTTGTACTTGAAATTAATATGATTACAACAATAGAGTAGCCAGAGTATGCTCACGTTAATCTGCTTAAAAAATGAATAATCAGTGAGTGTATACTTTTATGAAAATAAATATAAAAAGAAGACATGAAAATGAAAAAAACATGTAAATTCATTTTTTCGCAACAATTCCTCTTTTTTGAAGGCCATATGGATTTTTGCCGTTAATATTTTTGAAGTCAGTTATAGTTGATGAAACAATTTAGTTGCAACAAAATATAGCTTTCTCAATCCACAATTCAGTTTGTATGCCAGAAGGTATTTATTTTTTAAAAGAGGGATATTTTTTTTCTTGTAATACTCTTTTTATTTTAATAAAATTGAATACTAATTGAACAAAGTTACAATTAAAACACAGCTATTGGGCAATTAATTATTCATCGTTATGTAAAATTTAAAAAATATTTGAATTCCTCAAATTGAAACATCATCATTAGAATCATATTAACTTTAACAACAAACAGTCATTTGGTTCAACTGAGTTCAAAATACTTTAAATCCTCGACAGCCCACATTTGCAATGCCGTCAGTATAGTACTTACGTAATTGATGAAAATGAAACATCTCATCAGAAAAAATTTCGAAATTTGCAAGACACGTGGAAGTCGCTGTAGATACAAATCTCCCTCACGTAGTTAAAAACAGTTTTTGAAAAAAAACACGCAAGTTCAAATACACATCATTTTTAAAGCCCTTTGCATACGACAACAATAAAAAGCCTCTAGCTAAACGACAAAAAGTCACAACAATCTACTAACCAGTGCAACCCACTATTAACACATTAATGCAGTTTTCGAGGATAAAAAATTTTAAAAACAACTCATATGCATGTATGTATCACGACTTTTATTCATTCGTCCCGCTACTACTTACGTAGATATATAATCCGTTCAAGTCAGTCGATATACATTCCTCGAACTTATACTGCATTTTTCAGTGACACGTAACGGCCACTCAAAATAAATTATTTCGTAGAATTTAGAAAACCCTTTCACCGTTAATCCAAAAACCCGAAGCTCATCCAAAACAAGAAAAAAACAGTCAAAAGTACATAAAAGAAAAAAAAAAAAAAAAGGAAAAAACGGAGAAAACGAAGAAACGCCAGACCTGAAAAACCAGATCGAGAGCTTAGAGCGACCGAGAGAGAAAGAGAGTGAACTTTTACTGCATAACACTTCCGGCCATTATTCAAGTGGTGGTACAGCGCAAGAGAAGAAACGCGGGCTCGGCCCTACCTGTATTGTGTACAGATATACGTACACGCTATCACTTTGTTGCGCGAACCAGTTGTCTGACCACCGGCGCATTTTTCTACTTGGACGGGCCGTGACGCTTCCATATATACATGAATGGGGTTGCGTTTGCGTGAATAGGCATACACATCACAGACGCGTGACTTGTAAAAATTCGCTTGCACTTACACCAGTACACCACACACACACACACACACACACACACACACACATAGACGTAATAATTCATGCATGGTAATGGTGCAAAAGCGGGTTGCATGCACGAGTGAGAGGCATCATGTGACGACGAGGCCGTTGCGTCCCTTTCCATTGCACCGCCACGAGATCCCTTTCCCTCGCGTCTGGCCTCCCCTCGTCGTCTACCTCTATTTTTGCCTCTCCTGATGCTGTTATTGTTGCTGCCACCTCCGTCTCGCTTTCGCACGGATATACGGGCCCCCCCGTGTCCTATCTTTACCGTTCTTTTTGCTTGTCAAGTGTGCACACATTGTCGTGTGGCATGGGGTGACGTAAAGTAGAGTCACGTGAGCGTCTCTACATAGGCACGCGAAGGTGCTGCCCGCAGTGAAGGCTGCAATTTCACGAGAGTCACACTAGAGACGGATTTATATCTTCCACGTGACTCCCCGTCCGTACTCCAAGGACTTCTCTCATGTGTTGGTGTGGACAAAGTTCTGCTTCTTCTTTTACCTCTTTACTTTTTCCCCTGTGTTTCAAAATAGTTATTTATGTAACAAGTGCAGAAAAGACAATTTCCCGCACGAGTCGTGATTGACTCGCACGAGTGGCCGGAGTTGACGGGAACGAGTGCCAGTTGAGAACACGAGTGCGTAGCACGAGTGTGATCGCACGGCACGAGTTACCGTCACCAGCCACGAGTGCGAGTCTATCACACGAGTGCGGGAAATGGTCCCGCACGAATTGCGTACAAGTTTTTTCGCAATAAGTGTGCGGAAAATAGGTATTTTCTGCACTAATTTTAGTGTAGAAAACACCTATTTTCTGCACACTATTGCGAAATAGTAGTTTTCCTACGAGTTTGATAAGTCTTTGTTTGTGAACCGAGAGGTTTGCGGCCCGAGCCGAAGGCGAGGTCCGTAACGAGGTTCGTAAAGGAGACTTTTCAAACGAGTATCGGAAAACTGCTTTTTCGCCCAAGGAAGTACCAGCCTCCCAAAACCACCTGAGGGCGGAAAAAAAATTTTTTTGCATCTTTTCATATGGCACTTGCGACTACTTTTGCGTTTGGACTTTCTGGTTGATTTGGATGATTATTTTTACTTCCAAATGGTTCAACGAAAAATGGTATTTTTTGTCACTAAAGTGCCATTGCCTCCAGGGCTATTTTGCAGGTCTAGGGGACCGTAGGTACTTGTGTGCTGAACACTATTTTTCCTGCCGAGGGCACACCCAACCCTGAAAAACGCCCGAAGTATGACAGGTTTTAAAAACTTTTTCAGTGTTTATATTTAATTTTGAATAGCGTAATGAAAAGTAAACATTGAAAATCATACATTGCGTTAAAATATCGGACAAAAAGAAATTTTTAAACAAAAGAGACCAAATTTTCAGCAATGCCTTTTCAGTTAAAAATTAAGTGTCAAATCACTACTAAATTGATCTTCGATAATCATGTTAAAGGTAATATTTTTTAATTGGTATATTGAGAGAAGAAAAAATAAAAATTACCGTCCTAGAATGGTAATCATTCTGCTGTCTGGGGACTTTTTACTTTGGCCAACCTAATTTTTACAATTCTGGGCAATAATTTCAATTGTACAAACAGTAAAAATCACTGTTCTAAGCACTAAAAATTATTGTTCACATAAGTAAAAAGTCTCTAGACGACCGAAGAGTACCAGATTACCATTCTAGCACAGTAATTTTTATTATATTTTTCTCTCAGTTTAGTGGGAGAGAAAGAAGTATTTAAGAACTTCTCTTGCAAAAAAAGTAACACCGTATTGTTTTTTAGTTTTTTTTTTTTACAAATAAGAAAATGTGACGGCTTCGCTCATGGCATCTTTTACGTGTGCAACACATATTGCAACATTGACATCTGCTTTGAATAAAAAATTAATAGATTTATAAATATTACAATAAATTAAAATAAAGCCTGTTTTTATATTAGGAAAGAAAAACTGAGACATAAAAACGTGTTTATACGATGCGTTGAATTTTAAATGTAATATTTCCATTCCACAGCTGACAAACTGTGTAAGAATTTTTAATAGTTTACTTTGAATGACAGCTAATAAAGACTGAAATGTCAAAATGTACTCGGTTGTGAAAAACTTAAGATTATGTAATCATCTTTAATATCAACCATTATATTATGTTCTCTATCCTAAAAGATTGATTGTCGAGTAACTGAAGCCTTTTTATTTTATGTGCGATTGGTTAAAATAGGTCGAGTGCATTATTCGGCTAGATTTTTCAAAGATCAATTTCATTAAATTGTAGAAAAAATTAAAATGGAATGTGTTCATCATATAGATATAATCAAGAGTAACTCTACTTGATTTTTTGCATCTATTAAAAAAGTATTGAGACTAAAAACTTTATTTGATTAAAGTTCAGACGAAATAAAATTACACGTAATTTTTGAGTATCCCTTACAATAATTATACTACGTCACATAAATTTTTATTAGGAGAACTACTTTTTGATTATCACTGAGTTATTGTCATCACAATATATGGACTTTAAACTACAAGTCTTTTTGAAAAAAGATTTGTGTAATTAGTGACAACATAAATGTTGCAAGGGTAAGATTTATAGTGTTTATGTATACGTTTAGAAAGACAAAAAAATGAGCTAAATCTTATTTTTCCTTACATGGTGCAGTGAGCTTATTAAATAATAAAACTGAGATTAAAAGTATGGTCGCGATAGATTAGAATCTTTATTAAATTTCGACTGTGCCTACATCACTACCGTTTTCAACCTCGTTCTCAACTTTACATTATACACAACATATCATACAATTAAATTCCTAGAATATGGTGTTCTCACAAGTATAGATATTTATTTTTCACTAAATAAAAAAAAAGCTTTCTAGTTTCTTCTCGAGTACTTTCAGTGAACAAAATACTCTTACTAAAAATAACTGACTGATTCTGAAGTAATTTGCGACTTTTTTTTGATGACATCTGGAATCAATGCATAATGGCTCAGCGCGTATATCTGTTTGGCTTGGTCGGTATACGTTCTCGCTGGAGGCCATTATTTTCAGCTCAACGCCTTGGCCAGCTTATCCCCTAATATAGCTAACGTGAGTTTAAAAAAATTATCGGTACCGCTAGGTACATGATTCACGGGTTACATTAATATTTCTCACGAATTTCTAAACTGGTTCCGATGTTACCTCTCCCTCTTCCACCTGAGCTCATTAAAACACCTCGTTCTCCGAATTTTTATAATGTCACGAGAGAGTTCCAATCAGCTCAAATTCCTTCCTTGGGTGAGCCAATCGAATTTTGTTGTTCTGATTGATATCACTTTTATTTTTATTTTTATTTTTATTTTTTAATTTTTTTTTACTTGTTTCAAGGGTCAGAACCTTCCCGGTTTACTCTCATGTGAGAAGAGTATCGGTAAAGTCGCCTGGTTTTATACATGTGGGAGAATCCAACATTACCCTTGATGCTTGTCAACTCGGTGGCGTCTTTCAGAAAATCGTCTCCTATAAACAAACAAAAAAAAAAAAGAAAAAAAATAGTAATAATCATAAATCACTGAACTGAGTTGTTTTGCCGATTGGCCGATGTTTTTATTTTCATACTTTTCTGATCCAATACTTTGTGCTACCTTCCATTTACTGGATTTAAAATGCCACATATCCTTTACGATTTCTTATGCTAAAAAACTACACGTGTGATTAAGCACATTCTGGATTGGGCAAAGGCTGTCACGTAATCCCTGGATATCGTTATGCTGATGACAACCTTGACCCTCTCTCTTGCTGCGACGAAATCACGTCTGGGTTTCGTAACGTCGTCGTCAAACTCGGTTTTAACAAGAAACGTGTGTTATCCTCATTTTCTGTTTTTTTCTGCGATTAAAAGCATGAGTAGTTTAATCTTTCATTGTTTTAATGAACATTCTCGAAATTGTTTTTTGGGGCTTGTGCAAGAGTACCCACGACTACACTTAAAATTTGACTTGAAAAGTTGTTACTTTAGTCTTGCTATGTGATGTAAAGTTACCCCAGCCTCCCCCACAGTGCCACGTGAAATTGCATTTACACTGTGGAAAATGGCGAAGAGTAGTTAGGTAGCACTTATTGTCAATATACAAAAAAATGCATCATTGAACAATTGTGCTTTACCTCCCTGCGTGTGTAAAAGCCAATCCCAATAGTTAATTCATTCTAAACATGATTCTTAACGAAGTATTTTGATATCAGAGCTATCCGAAAAAAATTAATATTCTCACAAATTTCAAGGTATGATTTTTGGTGACAGCTTTAAAAGGCTATTATCTTCACATGGAGTCTTATTTACCTGAGACCTGGACAAAAGTTAAATCATGTTTGAATTTTTATATCTCAGAATAACCATATTACTAAGAAAACTCATTTCCTGCCATTACTCACTCAGTGAAATAGTATTATGGTATTAACTTTCATCCAAGAAAAATTAGACAAAATAAAGCTTTTGATCACTGTCCGGCCTAGCTTTGCTTAGTTAATATGAAATATGGTTTTTTAATTATTTAGAACTATTTTGAGGTACAAAAGTTCTAACAAATTATTCTAATTTTTCCAGATCTCATATTCTTCAGTGAGTAGTATAATAGTAATATAGTATTATGTACCTGGACACTCTTCATTGCATAATGTCTAAGAAGAGGCTATATAAAATTTACAACACTGAAAAGCTATCAGCGATACACTGAAAAAAAAGTCTTATACCTTTTTTGACAAACAATTCTGCGAAATTGTTATAAAACTTCTTACACTAATACACGTTTGGGTAAACGATCTGACTTTGCCTATTGATAAAAACGATCGCATGTATCTACGTTTTTATCTTACTTTCATTATGTTGTAAAGATCCATTGGGTCATAATAATTTTTTTTTGTTGCAATTTATCGATTACTGAAATATAAATTTACAGCACTAAAAGTAAGTATATAAACTAAAAAGACGAGAGTTAGAACCATCACTTGAAAGTGGCTAGCTCACGGCGATTTACTTTTCATCTCCAACACACGTACTTAACCGAGTATTGGAAATTATGAAGCTGTGTTGTTTGCTCGTTCTCGTATTCTGCCATGGAGTATTATTTAGTTTGCCATGGCCATTGAAAATAACTGATGCCGCAGTATCTCGAGGTAACGTAAGATAACGGAAGAATACTTTGCTTCGCTCTTAAAACGATATTTTCACGGTTGCGAAAAACCAGCACTTACAGCGCGGTGAAGAGGAAGCGAACATGCAGACGAGTATACCTATATACATACACTTGAGCCTGTTTTTTTATTTTTTTTTTTTTTTATTTAATTGCAAAAGTAACTTGTTGATCCCTCTGAAAATTTGATATAGCATTAGTTTTATGGTATTGCGTCTTGCAAAAAAATTGGCAAAATTCTACGTACCATTTTTATGTGACTCCTCCATGAGGTTACGTGTTACATTCAAGTTTTTTCAGCTTTTATTAATTCCAAAAACGGTATGTTGTGAAACGGTCTCAAATTTTACATGTCTCTTTCTAACGTCATTACAACATCCTGTTGAAATTTCAAGAACATCCTACAGAAAACGCTATGTGTGACAAACGTCCTTAACTATAGTGTTGCACAATGCTTTTGACACTTATCTTTTAATCTGGTGTTTTTCGAGATCCCGAATAATTCGCATGAATTAAATTTAAAAATCGTGAAAAGTCGTTAATTAAATCTTTGAAATTAACTAATATCTAATTTTAAAGAAAAATTGGATGGCCAAAGCTGGTTATACAGTGAATCACAACACAATACATTTTATATCATGAGACCTTTTTTTGCAAGAATATGAAAAAATTCTTACCGTTATAAATTGTTCTAAACTATCATACATTACTAAATTCGTTTGAGCAGACGAATTTTTAATAAAAAAAAAATTAAGTGCTTAAACACATTAGAGACGATAATAGTTGTAACTTATTTCTCGAGAGTAAGGCAGTAGTCCTGGATATTAGCATTTCTACACAGAAATTTATTTAAAGGTTTAAAAACGTAAACGGCATTATTCAATTTTCTTCCGACATATTTTTAATATAGGTAATAGTAACTAAGAATATACGAAATTACAATATTTCATGAAAAATGATAATGGTGTAAAAAAGTAATAAAAGTTGACTTACAATAATAGGGTAATGTTTAAATACACGTAGTAATGACACAAAGCGAGTATCGAGTAGATGATTGAAAAAAAATCACTGTATACGTCGTTGCATGACCCCATCAGAAACGTATGAAATGTTCGAGTCCCGCAATATACGTTTTTTCCTTGTCGGATTTATGCATTGATTCACTGTTTGTAATTAGTTAAAGGTGACTTAGTTAATCCAGATACACCAGAAAAATTCAAAGGGAACAACTACTTCCAAGCCTCGGAACAAATATTTTACATATACGACGGCCCAATACCTCTACCCAAAGGGAAGAACCAAGTCGTGCCAAAAGACTACATAATTTTACCAGAAATCGGGGTATATAAATTTCATTCCGATGCAAAAAACTGGAATGACGCTCGAAACGCTTGTATTAAAGAAGGAGGTATGGCGATAACTATGATCATCTATTGTATCGTCATTGTCACTACAATATTCCATGGTCATCATCATAATAATCATCATTATTGTAACTGATGAATAGAAATGTTACTTTTTTTACAGCCCATTTAGCTGTCATTCGCACACCAGAGGAAAATGAGTTCATTAAAAAAGTAAACAAAGAAAAAGGGGTAGTCAATGCGTGGCTGGGTCTTCACAATTATTTTCAAATTAATGACTGGGTCACTGTGGACGATACGCCACTGGAAACCATAGGCTACGCACCTTGGGTACCAGGTGAACCGAATAATTATAAAAATTTGAACGAATGGTGTGTCGTGTATGCAGCTGATATCGGCATGAACGACTTGGCGTGTCACCATAGTCATCCCTTTTACTGTAAAATCAAATTGGATGAAGGATTGTAATACATGTGCTTTTTGTTTACTGTTCATGTATAGATATAAATAAAGCTTGTGTATCCAAATATTATGTATGTTCAAAATATGAAAATAAATAGTAGTCAGTGGCACATATACTTACCTTAATTGATTTTAAATGCGTTTACTCATTACTTGTTCCTAAAAAGACTTAAAAAAATTATTATTATTATTCTTTCATTATTTCTTCAAATTGTTTTATACAACCACTTTTTAATAGTAAAAGACCAAACAGAAAAAAAAGTGAGTGTTATTAATCTTACAATAAGGTTCTCGCTTCAAAAAAACGACGAAGATAATTTTTTTATTTTAGATTTCCTGACTCACAGATTTATTTAGGATTGTTTTACCTTTAGCATTCAATTTAAAAACATCCATGCCACGAGAAGGTTAACAAAGATATTTTTGAAGATTTCTCAACGTAGTTAAGGAAAATCATAAGCATAATCTTAAGTACTTTTACAATGTAATTCTCAAAATCTATATACGGGTGATTCTGCTGTAACTTGCTCAGATCGACTTGAAAAATTAAAAAAAAAAGTTGGTTAAAAAGAATTTTTTTCATGGTATTTCTACTGTACACTACATCAGTAACAAATATCTAAAGCGATGCAACTACCAAATTTGCTGGTCAAAAGTTATACGAAATTTTATAAAAGTCAGGTTTCATCGATTTTTGAATAATTGTATCTCTTTCTAACACATGTAGCTAAGCTCCTTCAATAGTTACAGTGTTTTTACTGGGCTGAAATGAAATCTGAGATCAAGACCTATTGATTAAAAAAAAAATTTTGTTCGGTTTTGTGCTTCCATTCGAAAGTTACAGCTGTTTCGATTAGAGCGTAAATATTGCTAATAATGTGATTTTGGCTGAAATTCAGTATTTTTCATAAAATCACTATAACTTCTAATTCGGGGCATAAAATTCAAAGATTTTTGTTTTAATCATTAGGACTATATTTTTGCTTTCATTTTAGCCCAGATAAAGCCACCTAATGGAGTGCACCACTTGGCTACCAACGTTGGTAGTAGCACCACCGTTTTTGCATTTATGTAGCAAAAAGAGGCCAATTGGACGAAACCCCGAGACACATGTCTCGTCTTTTAGCCCAAAAGTGATGAAAAAAAAGTTTGGCTGGGATTGATTGCTCTAAAATTAAAAAAAACAGCACTTTGAGGTGAGGTAGGGTTGGAATGGAATTTTCAACTTTATTTACTAGCCTCAAATGCAATAAGAAACTGTAGTTTGCGTGCCTGCACACGTACACCGAGTGGTTGTTCCATGGGGGGTCGGAACGGAATGAAATGTTTGTACGCACGAAATGCGCAAAAAGAAGAGCTTGGCTATTCGAGAGGTAACAACTTCAGGTACTACTGTCGTAAGGATTTATTTATTTTAGTCCTATACTTTGAAAAGTGACCATTGGTTAGCATTTCCAGTCCATAAAGTTACTAGTTTGAACAGATTTTGGTTAAAACCACGATTATGGGACAAATATGCGGACAAAATATATGCAGTGAAAACTTACTCGTCTTGTTGTGACTAAGGTACAAGTCTAATCATCAATAGCTAGAGTATATAATGCTTATACGCCCAAGTGGCATATAAGCCTTATTGTTTTACCGGTGAAAGTTTTTATGAGTGAAATTGAGTTGTGGACATGGATCGGAATGAAAAATTCGACTCTAAATGATTGATTATCTCGCTGAAGAAATTAATACATCGGTATTAGACAACATTTGACATAATTTAACGTTTTTAAAGTCTTGGATTTCATTACGGTAAGTGAGTATGAGTACCGGACACGATCTGAGCAAGTTACAGCAGAATCACCCGTACGCGTATTTGTGTGTGAATTTAAAAAATTTTTTTTCTTTGAAACATTGCTGATAAGCTGGTGATTATAAGTGCTTCACCAGTATGCTTTTAAAAGTAATATTTATTTAAAATTAATTCTTTGTTGGATATTTATTTTATCAATGTATTATGTATTTAACGTTTATTTTGATTCCCTGAATAGCTACAATAACTAGTTTTGAATGAGTCTTAAATTTTCAGAGTCAAATACATTAAAATGTTTTATAACACACTACAGGTGATGGTAAAAAAGTAAAACGTGCCCTCAAGCTTCCACATATGATTTTTGGAAAGCTGCCTATTATAAAAATATTAAAACTGTGTACTCACGACATTAGGAACTGTATTGGGAAATCTGCATCCAATTTCCTTAAAAAAATCTCTTCTTAAAACATCGGTGACACCACCGACAAATTATACCTTTTCGTATCAATATTCTGTACACACAATAAGGAAAGTAAACATATTTTCTGATAAGAAAAAAGGCTTTTTTTGCAAGTGCAATTCATTGTTCGTGAACGCAGGTACAGCTGATGCTCTACCAACAAAACGTGAGACTGAATAAGTTAGTCACTCGGTATTGAACGTATTTTTGCTCTAATACATGCAAATTCTGATTAGCAGTTGGAGAGATTGCGCAAATTACAAAATGTGAAAAAGACTTAAGTCTAACACATTTTGGTGCTTCAAACCCTTGTGATCAAGAAATTTTTGAATATCATAACTTGGTCTTTGAAAATTCTGGGTACTTTATTTCTCAATGCAGCAAGTAAGTGCAGAAAGAATTTTTTCTATTTAAGAAAAAGTTAAAACGGGGCTTCAATCAACTATGTCAAAATGAGGTATCGACTTATTGGATTAGCTTTGTTAAATGTAAATCTTGTAAAGGTGTTATATCTTGAGAAAATCCAATTTGACACCAAAAAAAAAAGATTGGTTTGATTTCTAATTAATGAATAAATGATTATTAAAGTAAAGGGAGTGCATCTATTTTCTATAACTTTGTATTATTTAAACGTATATGTATGATACAGTCACATTGAACTTCCTTTTTTCTCTATTGGTAGTTGAATGAATGAAATCTTGCAATTGATTTTTAACTTAGCGTAAGATTAGTTGGAAAAATTTTGTTTCCAATATAAAAATAAATGACAATTTAGTTGGTTGAGTAGAACTATTTATTATTAAAAAATATTGTATCTGTTCGGTATTTCAGCAATTTAGTATTGCAATCATCTGAGACTTCTTAAAAAATTTTTTTAACAAATAAAATAAATGGACAAAAATTTCATTTTCTGGATTTCAAACTTGGTTACAATTTTATTTGTGTGTCCGTAATTCGTCTTACCACACTCGTCTGTTTCTACTTAATTTTTCAAACCTGATAATCTAAAGGTTGAGTGTCAACTACACTGTGCAAATAGTTAGTAAAAAACACAGTTTCGTGCTTTTTTAAATAATGATTATGATTATTTGGAGTATAACATTTAGATAAACCATTGCCTCAACCACTATCCTAATTCTTGGTGTACGTACTAACGCATTTACAGTGATTAAATATAAACATTAGTGTTTGCTCTGTAGTCGCATACAACTGCACATCATAGTTATTCTATTTCTTAAATTACAAGTAGCTTATTGATAGTTTCGTTTAAAGGTTTTCGGTACTTATTGTTAGGTGACGACTTGCGTAAATTAATAAATTTTTATTTTTATTCTATTTTATCCTATTATATTTCATTCCCAATGATAAAACTTTAAGACTCTTTACAGAGTCATACTCAACGAGAGTCGTCGCCTAACAAAGCTGACTGTGAACTTCGTGGCTCTTGGAAGTGTCAAGTGACAACCGAAGCGAGCCATGAAGCCTAAACACATGAAGTCAGCAAGTACCGGCCCCATAGCAAGTAAGACAAAGAAGTTTAACTAAAACTTCGTGCAAGGTGCATTTCTTTGCGCGGCGTTTTAGTTAGTAGCCCGCTGCCGCTCATCAAGTGCAGACGTAATAACTAATTTTATTAGATTAACCAGACGTTCCGTCTATTTTATTTTCTTTTCTGTTTTATTTTATATGTATACTAGTAATATAAAATAAAGTGATATAAAACTAATTGAAAAAGGAATTTAAATTATTATAAAATAATAAATAACAAATAAATAAATAAAAAAATAAGTAATTATAAATCGACGGAAAGAGGAAGCGCAGGCCACCAGAATCAATAATTAGCGGAAAGAAAGGTAAGTTAGTCTGGATATTGTATTCAACACTCTACTTCTTCCTTCCTTTTAATTTTTCTTAAACAAACAAATAGTTGGACTATCTGCTGTCCCGCAGCCTGTGAAGGAGCGTGAGACTGTAGTCCACAGTTTTTAGTTTTGATTTGAAGCTGAAAACAAACTTGAATGACATTAAACGTTATATAACAAAATTGGTAGCAGAGCGTGGTTTATGGTCTCTAGCTATTTGTTTATTTATTATATATTCTCTTATTCCTATCTTTCTCTTAAGAGACACCAAACACTATTAATGAAGCATGTTAATGAATGACGCGTAATACCCCACATAGTACACTGTGCGCGGAATCTTTATGCTGTGCTTCTGCGGATAGCATGGTATATGCGATATTTCGATCTTTCTCTTAAGAAACACCAAACACTATTAATGAAGCATGTTAATGAATGACGCGTTATACCCCATATAGTACACTGTGCGCGGAATCTTTATGCTGTGCTTCTGCGGATAGCATGGTATATGCGATATTTCGTTATAACTAAAAAAAATAAATAAATAAATAAAGTAGGTGCAACAGACCAGGTAA